CAGGGTTTAATTTGGTTTTGTTTGTGTATGTTTTTTTTTTACTCTCAAAGCTGTGATTCCCATTCACTTCCATTATAAGACTGACAGACTGCAACGGATTGTGTTAAAAATCTTTGTTTGTGTTCTACTGAAGAAACAAAGTCACCTACATCTTGGATGCCCTGGGGGTAAGCAGATAAACATCAAATTTTAATTTTTGGGTGAACTGTCCCTTTAAGAACTGAGTAATATTAATTAACTACATGTACTTACTATACAGTTAGGGTTAGGATTAGGGTTTGGCTTTGGGTTACTTGCATGTAATTATGCATATTTTATTGTTATTATAATAGTAGCATGTGTAACAAGGACACCTTAAAATAAAGTGTTACCAAATATAATATAATCACATAAACATAATTTAGTGTTCTCTACAGATTTATAAAGTATACGATCATAAAACTTTCGTGAGGAACAAGGCCATATTGGCCAACTAGACCAACATAAACTAACCATAAACCAACTTGCCATTGCTGTGGAAGTAGGATTGAGGGGTTAACACCAAATACAACACAAAAAGATAAACAATGTTATACATAAGAGATGTAGAACATGTTTGTAATGTCATGTAGTGTCAAAAAATGGATTAACTCATAATATTATTTTTTGCTTGAAAATATATTAGTTTCACAACTGTAAAAAAAAAAAAACATAAATCTAAATTTATTTTTACTTGGCACATTTTTAGCTTGTTAGACCAATAGTATGATATGTGGAATATTTGGTAAATAAACCAAATTTAAAATGCCCGATAAGGAAAGATTTATGTAATTTACACAATCAGGACTGTTTATTTTCACTAGTTGAACTGTGGACTGTGCACTTGTGGAACTGAACAAACAGTTGTGGAACGTATTCCAGGGAATAGACAACGCTTGCTTCTTAATGTTATCCATTAAACCTGACTTAAGAACACTGCTGACATGACAATTTTTGGCAATTAGTATAAAAAAAATCATTAATTTCATGGCAAAGCAATTTAACGGATCTGAGTCTTGCATCCTGAAATGATCTAATGCAGTAAAGTCTAAAATAAAATAAAATAAAATAAATGTGGCTTAATATTTTCAAGCTGTACTATTATTTCACAATAGTTTTATGGGGGAAATAAATAAATAAATAATTATTTAATTATTTAATTTTTCTCATGATCCTATTTATATTGTTTTTATTTCTGTGATAATCTTGGTTCCATTACTGCACTGCATTATAACATTTCAAGAACATTATATTATGATATTATATAGAATTATAAGATAGTGTTATATATTGAAAATAATGCAAAGATTAAATTGTATATGAAAGATTTTTGCAGTCTTTAATTTATATATCTGATATAGAATGCAGTATTTAGTGTTGACCAGTGTTGGGTGTAATTAGTTACTAAGTAATTAGTTACTGTAATTTAATTACTTTTCCCTTGAAAAAGTAAAGTAAGGGATTTAATTTAATTTAATTACAGTTACTTCTTATGTAATTGAACTTAATACTGTATAGACTGTAGTGGATTTAACATCAAAATTTAAAGTCTAAAATACATACTTTTATGTACCCTTCTCACTTTCAATACTTTGGTGAGTTAATAAGAATATTGGTAACACTTTAGTGTCCAATTCTCACTTTTAACTAGTTGGTAATTAGCATGAATATTACTGGGATATTGGCTGTTCATTATTACTTAAAAAAACACATATTAATGTCTTATTCTGCACGACCTTATTCTAAATCCTTAATCCTGCCCAATACTTAAACTTAATAACTACTTTACTAAGTATTAATAAGCAGTAATTTGAGTATATTGAGGCAAAAATCATAGTTAATAGTTAGTTAATAGTGAGAATTGGACTCTAATCTAAAGTGTGGCCAGAATAATTTATGTAGTTATCTATTATTTATTTGAAAGAATTAAATGAACCGTTTCATGTCTTTCCTTGTATCATTAACTTGTCGAGGTTGATATAGGAATTAGAAAGTAATTAGTAATGGAGAGAGTAATTTGTACAGTAATCTAATTACACTGTTGAAGATGTAATTAGTAACTAGTAATTGATTACTTTTTTAGAGTAGCTTACCCAACACTGGTGTTGACTTATATAAAGATAATTTTTCAGTGAAGTGTGTATGTGTGCGTGCACGTGCATGTGTGTACACCTGTATGAATTCACAATACGGCTCCTGCTGTAGTCTTAGCAGAATCCTGCTGGGAGCAGAGTGGCCTCCTGTTGAGGAGGAAGATAAGTGTCTGGCGTCTCTTGAGCGCCGTGAGCGATTACAGCCACTGCATTATTTAGCTTGAGTTACATGTGTGCCATGAACCCCACACTCCCCCCAAAAATATGCGGCTCCATTTGCTCTCATTAAAAATGTATGCCGTTTGTGGGAAAAAAACACACTCCCCTGACTGAGAGCTGATATTTTTGCATATGTAACTTGAGCGGCGTGTATGAAGCCAGGCACTCATAAGCATACATTTTCATCTCATGTTATAGCATATCAGTCCTCAACATAGTTACATGGCAGAGAAAAGGTTTTTAAAATATCTGTGAAGATCTGCTTTTGTCATATGGCATATGAACTGTCTGTTTGTTAATATCACAGTGTGACACCAATTTAGATGACAAAGAAAGCACTTAATAGAAAATGAAAATGTTATTAATTGTTTTCAATTTTTCTTTATCATGAAATAAAATAAAATGGCATTTTATTTTAAAAGTATCTCATAATTCTGATGATATGGTTTGTTTTTATTTCTGTGATATCTTGGTTTCAATATTACTCTACTGAATTGCAAGCATAGAATATCAATCCTTAACATAGATGCACAAAGGTTTTAAAATGATCTGTGCAGACCTGTTTTTTTCATATGGAATTATATGGAATAATTGTCTGTTTGTTATCATTGTGCCTGACACCAATTACACACGCACTACACTGAATCTCAGACTGTTTCTCTTTGCTTCAGGCCACTTTGATAATAGTTATTTTTTTTACATCATTAGCTGAGAAGCGCTAGTTATTCCAGCTTATGCTGCTCATCAAACATTTCTGTGACGTTTTCTTCGGCTCTGAACCCCAGAAGAGACTCTGACAGTGTGTGTTAATTTGAAGAACTTCATACCAGACCTGCAGCACTGAGCAAATTCAAAATCACTGCATTTATGAATGATTTCCAAACATTTCCTTAGGTACGGGAACCATTTATGAATGCCAGATGAGGCAGCAGTGCACACATTCTCTGAACATCTTACTTTCATGTAATTCACATCAAATGACCATTGCAATTGAAACCAAATGGGAAGGATTGGCAGAGAAATGTCATTTTCGCATACATCTTTTCATTAATTAACAAGGACTGCTGTAATAAAAATGATGATTATTGTAATGCTGCCATGCATGTGCCTTATGTTACGATCTAAGCCTATTGGCAACCAGTGGGACTGTAGTGTGAGATCATCTTATTAATGTAACAGTGGCACTGTCTTAATCTTGGTAATGCTTCCTTGGTGGTTCCACAGGAGTTGAGGATTTACGATGGCTTGTGGGAGGGTGAGACAGAGTCCTATAGAGGTGGCATTGGACGCCAGGACTGCATTGCTGGCAGACAAAGCACACTTTGTTTTGTAATCAGAGCTCAAGTGCTATGTGGTAAGTTTTTTCTTAGGATAACAGCAAAGCTTTTGGCAAGGATCGAAGATTTCTTTCTCTGTCGCTTGCTCTTTTTTTTAGTTTGATTGATACCTGGAGGAAACCTGAGTCAAGGCACTGAGAAATAGATCAGAGTGCATCAGATTGGATGCTGATGCCATGGGTTTTCAAAGAATAAAGGCTGAATTTAGGAGTCTAATAAATGGTATGTATCCCATGTGAATGTGGGCTGTTGGGGAATACAGTTTGAGCCAGTAGGGAGATCAATGTAGAGGAAAAAAAGTTGCATTTGAGAGAGAATTTATTGTAAATAGTGAAATTCCATCCTCAAAAAAAAATCCAAAATCCCTGCTGAAAAAAAGAAAAACATCTTAAACTAGCTTAAACTGGTTTGCTGGTCTTAGCAGGTCTTAAAATGTGGTCAGGCTGGTCTGTGGAGAGGTTTTGGAGACCAGCTTAAGATCAGCTTAAACTATAGCAAACCATTGTAGACTTTTTTTTAAAGGGGTCATATGATGTTGCTAAAAAGAACATTATTTGGTGTATTTGGTGTAATGAAATGTGTTTATGCGGTTTAAGGTTCAAAAAACACATTATTTTCCACAAACTGTACATTATTGTTTCTCCTCTATGCCAAGTTACGCCTTCTTTCTTTGTGTGAACATTTGGGCGGCGTTATGCAAATCTTCCCAGATCGTGACGTAGGTATGTGGGGGCGTGTTAGAACGAGCCGTTTTAGGTAGGCGTGGCTGACTCTTAACTTTTATAAAGAATATCTCTTTGGATTTGAGACTTTAGTCTTTGCAACTTTACAGATCTTCTTTATGCACCAAGAGCTTGTAACACTCCAAAGAGAAAGGAAAAATTGAAATCGCATCATATGAGCCCTTTAAAATAGCAGACTTTACCTAATTTAAATTAAATTATTTAAATAATTTAAAACACTAAAATGTTCTTAGCAGGTATTTGCCAAATCGATTCTATTTTAACATTAAAATTTTAAAATAATATTTAGTAAATTGCAGAGACAGAACATGAAAAAATGAATGTGTCATTAATCAGAAATATTTGAATGCTGAATGCCAAGATAGATTCAAGTATTTTAAACAGCAGATACAACAGAACGACAAAGAAACTCAATCAATCAATCAATCAATCAATCAATCAATCCTTTAGTAAATGAGACAGAACATGAAAAAATGAATGTGTCATTAATCAGAAATATTTGAATGCTGAATGCCAAGATAGATTCAAGTATTTTAAACAGCAGATACAACAGAACGACAAAGAAACTCAATCAATCAATCAATCAATCAATCAATCAATCCACCCATTCACAACACACTCACAAAGGAATAAGGAAGAGTCAGCTGGCTGCACGCTTCATGGACAGCACACGCGCGTTCCCATAAGGACAGTTGTCTTGTCACAACAATATTTTCCGCGCCTCATTTTACAGATGTACTCTACCTTTATTGCTACTTCCATCCAGGGAGAGGCTGTTCAGTTTACAAATGTACTGAGCTTTCCTAGTTTTCACAGAAGAGAGTTGTTTGTCACATGCAGGACAGCACAGATGCGCACCTGACCGCAAACACGTCGCGCTTGACGCTTCCATCTCTTTGCTCTCTCATTTCGTGAGTGGATCTTGTTGAAATCTCATTTAAATGTGTTTATTGCATTATAATAGCCATCTTGATGTCATGATGGCACAGTGGAGAGGAGAAGCATCCTGCATGTGTAGGCTATGTACGCGAAAGTGTTGTTCCACCAGCAAATTTCCACGTGAGCAGTGATGTCCGAAAGGGTTAAGTGCTCGAGCGGCGTGCTCACTCCTACAGCATTACATCACTCAGCGGTCCAGAGGTGCGAACCGAGCACTAGGTGGCATCCTAGATGAGTACGGATCCGCGTCTCTCTTCAGTCGAGACATCCAGTCGGCGGTGGCGGGTGTCTCAGGGAACAGTCCCGCGCTCGCTCCCAAAGACAATGCGCAGGTGACAAGAACCGGCTTCCAGGAGTTCGTCTCTGACCCGTGCCGGCTCGAGAACTAGATCAGCGCTGACTTCGCCGTCCGCAGCGCCGCAGGAGGATGCTCGGCCTCACCCCACAAGTCCATGGCTACCTCATTAGGGGTACTCTGGAGAAACAGGTGTCGGGGAAGTGACGTCACGAGCCTCGGAAACCAGAGGTGTGCGCTTCGGAGAGCAAGATGGCAGCGAAATCCGACGGTCGGGGGGTCGTCACCGGTTTCGCCCAGCTGCACAACCTGGACGAGACGGTGGGGAGCTGCGAGGACGACCCGCGGCAGAGCAGCTCCTTCCACATCTGCCACTGCTGCAACACCTCGTCGTGCTACTGGGGCTGCCGGAGCGCCTGTCTGCATTACCTCCTGGGCAAGGGGAGAGACGTCAGGCGGCCACCTCACGAGAAGCGCCTGTGGTTGGACTGCCTGTGGATCGTCCTCGCGCTCCTCGTCTTCTTCTGGGACGTGGGCACTGACTTGTGGCTCGCGCTCGACTACTACTTCAAGCAGGACTACCTCTGGTTCGGACTCACACTGTTCTTCGTGCTGGTGCCGTCGGTGCTGGTCCAGATCTTGAGCTTCAGGTGGTTCGTGCAGGATTACACGGGGGGCGGCCTGGGCACCGTGGAGGGTCTCAGCAGCGGCCGGAGAGCCACGGCGGGCACGAGCGCAGGGGTGTACGGCAGGGTCAGATGCTGTCGCGTATCAGTGTGGGTCTGGCAGACGCTCATACACATCCT